GGCCCCGCTCCAACCGTTCCACCTCCTCCTGGTGCCCAGGGCTCCCCAGCTGGACACGGGGCTCCAGGGGGGTCTCACCAGAACCAGCTCCTCTGGTTCCATTTATAGAAGGGTTAATAAATAAGCCGGAATAGTTAACTATTTGCTACAGAAGCCAAGATTTTGGTGATAATTCCTCCTCGGACCAAGCTGGGGGGCTGAAAGCCCCCCAAGGGAGGTGGCTGGCACCCAGTGCGTCGCGGTGGCACCGGAGCGGCCTTGCTGAAGGGCAGGGCAGGTGCCCCCAGGTACCACATAAAGCAAAATAGAGACATTTTAAGCTCGTAACGTGTATTTGGGGCTGTGGCACGTTTTTAACCCCCCCCCGCCGGCTGTCTAGTAACCCTTTTCCAGAGGGAAATGCTTCCCGACGTGCCAGGCCATGGTCTGGAGGGGTCTTTGCTGTCCCATCAGGTGCCCTCCTCGGAGGGGTTGAACCTTGGAAACACCCACAGGTTCCCAGGTTCAACCTCAGGAGGTTTGCAAGGGTGCTGGGCCACTCGCTTTGGGGAAGCTCGGCTTGGGAAGAGCCCAATTTCACGCTGGTCCTGGAGACTTCCAAGGTTGAACCCTCTCACGTGTTGCTGGTTGGACCCCACCAGCTTCACCCCACCACCGGGCCTTCATCCCAGTGACAGCCCACAGCTGCTGCAACGTCCCTTTCCCTCCGCTTCCAGCTCAGCCTCAACCCCCCGGGGACGAGCTCATCAGGGTGGGGTTCCCCACCCCAATCAATCAACCTCATTAGAGCTGACGTTGCCTATGCAGAGGAGGAAGGAGAGCATGGACCTTCCTCTCCCTCAGAAACCAAGCGCGTTGGTGGAGAAAACCCATGCGACAAGATGGGGTCTCGTTACCCCCTTCGCTCCTGCCCATCTCCTGGAGGTGGTGGGTTGAAGGGCCGGCGCGGCTGAAGTTTACCTTCAAAAACGCGCAGGTCATCGTGAAGGTGTTCCTCATCCATCCTGGGAAGCTCTGCCTGGGAGCGGGGATGCAGCTTGGGATGGAGCAAGCGGAAGCTTTTCCACCAGGCTCTCTGGAATTGTGAACGTGCGATCCCTCTAGGGGTGTTGGGTCCAAAGGTTGGGATTTAACCAGCGCCTCTTCAGCCCGCGTCCTATTGGTTTGTCCTCTCAAAATAGCACCTTGGATTGGGGCCACTTCCAATAATTCAGCGGTCGGGAGGGGTTTTTTTTTTCTTCCCCCCTCCAGCCAAGCTGGGTCCCCTTTTTTGTCCGTAACTCTTCCCCATCCCTTCGGATCAAAAAAGGGGCGAATTCTCCACTTTCCCAAGGTGTTTCTTCCAAGGGTGCAGAAACGAGGGGGGGTCTGGAAAATAGGGAACGGGCTCTGCTTGTGCCTTCAGCTTTGCTTTCCAAACCAGTAGCCCAACAGCTTGCGCTCGCCCAGGAAAATAAAACAGGCTCCGGGTGCGATAATGCACCCGTATGGACGTGCCGTAGGCATCGGAGCAGCTCGATTGAGGGTCGCTCCCCGCGGCGATCGATAATTCGGGAAGTTTAGGGCCTTGCTGAGTTGTCTTTGCGCGTTGGTGGCTGTGGGCTTTGCTCCTCTCAGCCCTGAGAGCGCTTCAGAGGCTCTCCAAAGTCTTTTATTCTGTATTTATTTTAAAAAAGAGTTGGGCTCTGCTGTCAGGATGTGGGTGCAAGGAGGGGCTGACCGAATTAAAGGTTGGCAAAAGATAAAATGGAGATTAAACAGAGATGAAGCCCTCTGAGTTTGGGAATTAGGAGCCGTAAGGGCGCGGAACAGCCTCCCAAAAGCTGCAGGAGGAGGGCGAGCTGCTGCTCCGCCAGGGCAAACGCAGAAGTGATGGGTCAAGGAGACGCTTGCGGTCCTTTATTCCCCACGGCCACCCGGTATTTACAGCTCCCCCTCCTGCTTCCAGCCCTGAAAATGCCCCCTTAGAGCCGCATGAGCTCGTGATGGCCGCGCCGTGCCGTTCCGCGCGCAGCAATTACGGGGAGGCGATGGAAAACGGGCACGCGGGGACCGTCGGATATTAAATGGCGCCGTTCGGAGCGCGGCGCCGATGGGCTCGCAACCGTCCCGCTGCAAGCATCGGGAGCGCGTTTAGGCTCTCGCCGAGCCGCGCCTCGACCGACTGATGGGTTTTTACCTTCGCTCTCCGAGCCCAGGGAGTGCTGGGCCAGGCAGTGCTTGAGGTTTTAATAACGCTAATTACTCCGGCGGCAATCGCCGGGCCCGTGATGAGCGCGTGGCGGTCGTTAGTAAGCCAGCAGCCTTGGGACGCTTTCCAAAGCAGAGCTGGGGCGTTCTACCCTTGTTTATTTGCCCCAAAGCCCCACCGAGGTTGGGCATAAGCACAGAAAGGAGGCCAGGGCACAAAGAGCGCGTTAACGAGACGCGCAGCGACGAGGATTTCATCACGCAGGGGAGGGGGTCAGTGCCATCCAGGGCTGTCTAAAACCCAGCGGCTGATTGCGTAAGCTGAATGGAAGGGGGCAGAGGGGTGAAATGACCGGAAAACGCTCGGCCGAGACGTTAATCCTTCTGCTGTGCTTCCTAGGAGAACGTGCTTGTCCCTCCCGGCTCCTGGGGGGGGGTGGAAGAGCAAATAATGCTGGGGAGGGTGAAACACCAGTTCACATCTCTCCATCTGCACTGGGAAGGGTGGAGAACGC